TCTGATGGGGTGCCACGCCCTGGCCCCAAAGTCTATTTTTGATGTTCCCTGGGGACTTTGTTGTGCTGCTCCCCTTGCTGTTCTGTTGCACACCCCTGGTGTTTCACCTTGGTGTGGTGGGGTCAGATCGGACGCAATCATGGGTGTGTTTTGATAAAGAGTCACTGCGTTGACACGTTGACAGGGTGATCACAGTACAGTTCTTTCCTCGTAGCTCAATCCAGAAATTCTTTACTCTTAAAAGCGTCCCTTTGATTGCGAGAGAACGATGAGGCTGTCTGCTGTTGTCAAGAGTTACAGTCTCAGACATCCTAAGGAGCATCTCTAATCTGCCTGTCGGGCAGTGGTGAGTTAGCGTTGAATTGATGGCCATGGGTTTGTCTGCTTTCTCTGATGTCCAGGCACCCCGTGCTCGCTGGTATGACAAAGAAGCATAGTTGGCACGATGGAAATCGCTGCTCCAAGTGGCATGGGCAAGGCTGTTCACTGAAAACGTATCTGTCATGTGGAAACAGTCTTCGTGTGCATTCGTAGGGGAATGAATAAATTGTCGTTGGATGAGTAGTTAGAAGATGGAATTAGTGTTCAGTTAAAATGGATGACCTATATCATTGTACAACCACATGAAAGCATGATATTGAGTATAAGAGAAGTTTGCAAAACGGTCCATACCATATAGCATCATCTATGCAACGGTCCATACCATATAGCATCATCTATGCATCATTGTTTGAAACAATACAAACAAAACAAAAATTGAAACAAGCAAAAATATTTATTTGAGAATCTAAAAGCATAACCATATAATCCAAATTCATGATAGAGACAGCTGCTGGGATGGAAGGAGAAAACGGGGCAGGGTGGGGAGGGAAGGGTCTTCAACATTCCACCTCATCTTCATTCTCTTTGGTTCTTCGAAATAAACAGATGCAAAAGGCGGTTGCATCAGGTAAATCTGCTGCACCGGCCTCTTTAAAGCATTGAACGGCAAGGATGTTATTTTTGAGAACAAAGGTGCACCGTGTGTTTTCCGTTGTCTCATATGCATGGGAGAGTTGGATGTTCACTAGGGAAGACCAAAGGAGAACGGAGGCATTTGCATAGCGGTGGGGGTGGGGTGGGAGGGGGCTGGAGAAGAGCAGGGAATGGGCCAAGGAGCTTTAGCAGAAGAGGAACAGATGCAACAGAGGTTACACATGTGCTCATCCTAAACACACTAGGAGGTAGGGACATGCCGATTCAAAATTAAAATTCACGTAGAATCCCACCCACCAGAAATCATCCCTCGGTGCTCAGATCTCCAATCCTAGACTGTGTCCCTCATGAAGACAAGGAGCTCCTAATCTGATTCAGAGGTTCTCAACCTGTGGGTCGCAACCCGTTTGGGGGTGAATGACCCTTTCACAGGAGTCGCCTAAGACCAGTGGTGCTCAACCTTCCTCATGCCACAACCCTTTACTACAGTTCCTCAAGTGGTGGTGACCTCCCCAGCCATAAAATTATTTTCGTTGCTACTTCATCACTGTCATTTTGCTACTGTTATGAATTGGGCAACCCCTGTGAAAGGGTCATTTGACCCCCAAAGGGGTCGCGACCCACAGGTTGAGAACCGCTGCCTAAGACCATCGGAAAACACATATTTCCGATTATCTTAGGAACCGAGACACCACTCCTCTATCCGTCTCCAGGCGGGTCTGCTCACATGCAGATACGCCCACCTACATGTACCCGGTGTGAAGACTGTTACCCATGCTACACCATGCTTCAAGACAAAATTTCATTTATTTGTAATTAGAAATAAATATTTTAAAATATATAATTAGATACCTATTGTTTTTGTGACTAATCACTATGCTTTAATTATGTTCAATTTGTGACCATGAAAATACATCCTGCATATCAGATATTTACATGATGTTTCATAACAGTAGCAAAATGACAGTGATGAAGTAGCAATGAAAATAATGTTATGGTTGGCGGTCACCACCACATGAGGAACTGTATGAAAGGGTCTCATCATGAGGAAGGTTGAGAGCCACTGGGCTAGTTCATCCTGTGCAGTGCCTGACACAGCCCTGGCACAGGGCACATGCTCGGTAGATGTTCTTTTTTTTTCAAAAAAAAAAGGAAACTCACTGGCCCAAGTCGATTCTGACACAGAGTAACCCTGCAAAACATGAGCGTGTCCTTCCGGTTTTTAATATAAAAGTGATATCACACATACCCCCTTTGCATTCTGATTTGCACCATTAATAATACATTGTGATCATGTTCCTCTGCTCAGTTGATAGATATTCCTCAATATCATTTTAACAGTTCTCTAATTTTGCTGAAAACTATCCGCAAACCAATATTCCAAGGAATAAACTTCACTTCGCGCTGAGATGGCACAGATGAGGCAGGGCATATTTCTAAGGCATCCATTTCTGCATGATTTCAGTGTTCTGGAAAATTCTTCTTCTAAAGGTCATGTTTTGTGATGGATGGCAAGTGGTATTGTTTTTAAAGATGTTTATTTTAGCAAAGCTATCTTTATACTGATAGGAGAAATATGAATCTCAAAGTAAATCAGTGTTGGCCCTGAACTTTATTTTCAATAAAATAAATGTGTTTGGGATGGAGCTCTGAAAGAACTGATAGCTTCACTGTTGAATGAATAATGTGGGCTTCAGCCTGGCCCTTCCTGCTGAAGACAGGGGACCAGCTGGATCAGCATTTCACAGTGGGGGTCCTGGGAACCCTGGGGCAGCGGGAGGGAGGTCCGTGGGAAGGGCAGGTGGGCGCTCAGCATTAGGGGTGCTTGCCGGAAGCTCCTTCCTGAGTGGGACATCTCAGGCAGGATTGTGTTGCTCTAGGGACTACCTTGCTTCTGTCTCAATCCTAGGAGCTCACATCCAGTTCCTGAACTTCTCCACCGAGCCCAATCACGACTTCATAGAAATCCGGAATGGGCCCTACGAGACCAGCCGCATGATGGGGAGATTCAGTGGAAGCGAGCTTCCCAGCTCCCTGCTCTCCACTTCCCATGAGACCACCGTGTATTTCCACAGCGACCACTCCCAGAACCGGCCGGGATTCAAGCTGGAATATCAGGGTAAGGAGAAACATCTTTCTTACTCACAGCCACCCATCTCCCCAGCCTTCCAGGAGAGAGCCAGAGAGTCCCCCAGAGGGGTAAGGGGACAGGCCTGCTCGGTGAGGCTTCCCTTTGAGGGGCAGATCCCTCCATTCCCCGGCATGACAAGCTCTCCCACCACCTTTTCCAGGGAGGCAGGCCTCACCCTCTGCACATGCCTATCAACGAACAACCTTTCCTGAGCAAGCGGCTCAGCTCTTCCCCCTCAGGCACCCCCTGAAAGTCTGGTCAGCACCTCCTTTCAGGCCTGAGAGGTTTAATGACTCCCTCTGGGTCCTCCCTCTGGTGTCAGGCCCAAGGACACCGACAGGGCATTTCCTAGGCTGGAGGATCCCAGTAACCGTGAGCACTGTACACACTGCAGCCGGCTCATGGACTTGATCCTGCAGGTTTTCCTGTAGGAGACCCAACCGCCCAGAGGAGGAATCTTGTGTCAGACCCCACTCCTTCTGGTGCACTTTCTCTGGGAAGCATCCCCTCCCCCTGATCCGGGCTGCCCTGTGGTTGTAGGGATTTTACACAACCTGTGCAGCTGGACACAACAGTCCTGGACAGGTCCAGCTTCTCTCTCTGATGCTTCCCCAGCATGACTATCTGTTCTAACCTCTTTTCCCAGCATAATAGGAATGTCCCCCATAGTTGTAGATGCCCCCACCCCAGCACCAGCATATCCTTGTAAAAACAACAAGATTCCATGTTACAAATGTGAGAGCACATTATGTAGCACTGGTCTTCTCCCACACTACCCCACCCCACTCAGTGCTATTGACCACACGCCATCTGTCGTGCATAATTGATTTTTGGTATTTGCAGTAGTCCCATGCTTTAAAGTTGCCATGAATACGCAGTGGACTACTCACCATGAGGTTAGCAGTTCAAAACCACCAGCCAATCCGGGGGAGAAAGAGGAGTCTCTCTATTCCCATCAAGAGTTACCATCTCAGAAACCCACAGGGACAGTGCTGCCCTGTCCTGCAGGGTCACTATGAATCGGCCTGGACTGGGTGGCAGGGAGTTTGGTTTGTGGTGGTTGTTGTTTTAGCTCACTAATTCCACTGCTCTTATGGGAATGCAGGGTTAGGTTCGCAGGAGCCTCTGGGCACAATAATCCCATCAGCCGACCCATGCAGAAGCTTGTTTTATGTGTGTTTCTGATTAAACACATCTTATGAAATGTAAGTTGATTCAATCTCCTTACACCGATGGCAGCAGTACTCTTACTCACGCTTGCAGGGAACTTAGCTAGGGGCCATGTTTTGTGTGCGATGCACATCACGGCCTTCTTGTGCTTAGGAAGACTAGACACGCTTCAGCACTACGCTTGAACCTGTTTTACGCAGCATCTCCAACAACAACAAATGTGAGCACGTAAAAGCTGTGACATGAATACACATCACCCCATGACAGCTGTGGAGGGGACAGAGTGTTGACCTGTCCAACTTCCATGTACAATTCCAGTGCTCCGCCCCTCAGCACGCACTTGGCTCCAGAGGACCACAAAGATTGATTTGGGGTTTACAAGTCGATTTTAGTGAGTAGGCAAACTTTGCAAATATGAAGTCCATGAGTAATGAAGATCAACAGCGTTTGCTGTTTCCTATGCAGAGACTGGTATAGCTATCTTCGGATATTTCTACCCAAAATTGGACACTGAAAATGATTGTTACCATTTTCTTCTTAATGTTAATTTTTAATGACAGAAACAATTTACCACTAGGTGCCCCTTGTTAAAAAATAAAGGAATCTAAAGCATTACAGGTAAGGATCAAGCTCGCTTTGTCTATAACCTTTGAACCCAGGATGCTCAGACCAAACTCACTGCCCCCCAGTGGATGCCAACTCGCAGTGATGCTAGAGGAGAGAGGAGAGCTGTCGAGGATGGAGGACAGGCGAGGCGGTAGCTCTGTACCGGAGCAGAAAGCCTCCTCCTTCTCCTGGGGAGCGGCTGCTGGTTTCCAACTGCTGACCTCACGGTTGGCGGCCCAACATGGCACCCGCTTATTTTGCATGATCGTTCCAGGCCTTTGCCCATGCATTGACATACATAGGTTACATGTACCTGCGAAAAATGCGTCATGTTCTATAAATATTTTATTGTGTTTCCCATCCAAAGAGTGCCATTCTATGCATAATGTTCTGAGACTTGGATATTTTTTTATTATTCTGGAAAGAATATGGCTGAGAGTGTCTTTCTTGGGAGGAAGGATGACTGGCTCCTTGGACGCGGCATTAAGGGAACTCCAGACAGGGTGTCTCTTCTGACTGGGTGCAGTTGGACCTGTTGGACAAGGGACAGTGCCTTCGCAGAGGGCCCGCATCTGTCTTAGAGGAATCTGCAGGGAGAATGGTTGCCACAGGGGAGGCCTCGGTAGGAGGAATTGGGCCCCTCACATTCATAATGCTTCCAAGGCATGGTTGTACCCCCCAGACAGGCCTTGCCTAGTTAGAGAGGCTCAGTGTGCGCGTGGGCCTGTTACGGAGGCTCACCTGTCAGACCCACACCCTCGATTGGATGTGTGGGGCTGTGAAAGGAGTGAGTCTCGTCCAGGGGGTGTTGAGCCTATCATTTGGTGAGTGTGTAGCTCAGGCACAGACACACTTCCTCCCCATAAGGGTGCCTCCTGGTAGACCCAGGTACTCTGGTCTTTTCCTCACCGTCCTGACAGAAACAGCTGCTCCCCGGTCCAGCCACATGGAATGCACCACCCTTCACCTTGCCAGCTCTTGCCAGCAAGTCCCAGCAAGGCCGCTCTCCAGGGCAGATCCTGCATGGTCTGAGCCCACTCATCTCTCTGAAGATGCCCTTCTATGGTGACTCAGATGCTCCGTCATCTCCTCTCCTGTGGAAGCGCACTCACTACCCCCACAGAGCCCTGTGCTGGGCTCAGACCCTCTCTTCAGTTTGGGGAAATACTACTCCTGAGGCTTCCTCTGAACCAGGGGCCCAGAGATCCCTCTGAGAAGCAGCAGACCAGCGTTCTTGGTGAATGGGAGGTGTCTGTTCCTGACATTTAGGCTTCCTTTGCATGAGCAAATAGCCCAGTGCAGCTTCTCAGGATTTTCCGTGTGTGTGTGTGTGTGTGTGTGTGTGTGTGTGTGTGTGTGTGTGTTGGGCAGGTTAGAATGGGGAGGGAAGTTCTCAATGTGCCTTCGGAAATCCAACACTGGCTAGCTGGTTTGGGGGCCCCCCCAGCCCCCGACAGACACTGCCCTCGGTCTGTTGGGTACTGACCACCATGATGACTCCTTGGCTGGGAGCCGCGTCTCTCCAGTCACTGCCTCTGTCCTCACATTGCCTTCTCCTCTGCGCCTGTTCACCTGCTGTGTCTTGTCTTCCCTTAGACTGTGGACACATCTTACTGGATTCGGAGCCCACCCAGATAATGATGATCTTATCGGAAGATCCCTAACCTAATTACTTCAGCAAGGATTTCTACCCCACCCCACCCCCGCCCCCAAATAAAGTCACAGGCACAGGTTCCAGGTGAACCTATCTTTTAGGGGGCTGCCGTTAAACCCACCACCAGTTCTAAGGACTTTGGAGGAGGGCCCCATGGGGTCAAGTCCGCTGCCCCTCCTCAGCCACAGGCTTGGCTTCTGTCCCCTTCATCCCAGCCTCTGCTTCGAAATAGTCACCGTGTCGGAGGCCCCATGCGTCCACTGAGGACTCCCCCACACACACACCGTGTGTGGGAGGCCAGGTGATTCTCCCTGACCAAAAGGCTCATCCTTTCCAATGACGTCTTCCCTCAGCCTCCCAAAAGAAACAGGTCCCAAAAGAAACAAGCTCTGGCTGCTTACCTCCGCCTTGGTCTTTTGGGAGAGACCCGGCTTTGTAAAAGCGTCACCTGTTCCCACCGGGGTATTTCCTGTCAGACAATCTCGAGCTCCCTGTGTCCCCTCCGCTTTCTTTGGAAGAGACCCAACTCCTTACTCTTTTCCCAAGAATCCTGCGATTGAACACTGGGAACTTCCGAGGGTGGCTTTCTTTTCCCCTTCTTCCAGCAAATCCTCTCGCAGAATCTTTAATGACAGCTTTAGCTGCCCCTGCCGAGGCCTTGGGGCCCGCTGGACATAGCCTATTTCATCAGTCCTTCGTAAGAGGACCGTGTTCCTGTCCGAAGGACTTCACAGAAGGACTGTTTGATAGAACTGCTCCAAACTCCCAGGCCTCGTCAGTTTCTTTGTCACGGTGTCTCCCTCTGAGGGCAACCCAAACACTACGACCGAGGAGTCCTTTGGGGGCAAGTTAAAGACTCCTTCACTGAAGATTTCCATCTGCCCATCCGCCCAACGTCTCTCTTTGAAGCTTCTTCCAGTGGAACGGGTCCCGAGATTTCCCTCAAGATGAAAGGAACTGGGGTACTCCTGCTGGAGTGGCTTTCTTTTTGAAAATCCCAGCTCCTTCCCCTCGAGACAATCCCTGTGAGACCCAGTTACGCTCATTAACGCTGCGCTGCCTTTCAACACACAGGCAGTCTCTCTGCAGTGCCTCCCTGTCTGCGGATCCACGTGGTCCTCCCAAGGCTTCTCTTTCGCATGAAGGCCCATCCCACCCCCACTTGCCCTGTATTACCTGCTTCTACTAAAATGTTCCTCTCTGAAATCGCCCAGGCCCTTGCTGCTGCCATCTCTTCGTGGGTTAACGCGTCCCCCCACTCCCACGATGGCATCTAGCCTTTTGATGGCCCAACTTACATTGATGATTTCCATTTCTGACCCAGTGCTCCCCCTGCAATGTCTCTGTACAATACGGAGTAGAAACAAGCGTAAGACAGCCACGAAACATCCACTGTCATGGAGGACTTGCTTGAGTGCTACTATTCCCACTGGGAATTTCCACTGTAGGAAAGTTCCTTCGGTTCCCACTGCCAATTTCCTGCCTACGGTGTCCCCAGTGACAGCCAAGAAGGTTCATCTTTGACCTGTGGACCCAATTAATCAACATACGCAAAGCGTCCTCTTGTGAATCACTCATCCCCATGGAAACAGCCTTCCTCTCACTTTGAGGACCTTGCCTTGCATGACAGTCTCCCATCCACTTCAGCCTCACTCGTCTCCGGAGCCCGGGTGGCACAGGGGTTCCGTGTCGGGCTGCGGTCCGCCTGACCAGCAGTGCCATACCACCAGCAGCTCCGAGGAGAAAGACTTGGGTGTTCTGTTCCCGGCAACAGTTACAGTCTCGGAAACCCAAGGAGGTCACAAGAAGTCAGCATGGACTCGATGGCAATGACCTCGGTTGTTCAACCTCCCTGAAAAAGTCCCCTTCCCGCAGGTTTGGCCTGCTTCCATTGAAGCTGTTTCCTTCTTGCTAGGTCCTATTTTCTAAGACTCAGAAAGACCAGACCCTCACGCCACTGCTTCCTGTTTGTGTCCGGAGTCATGGTGGAGGTGGTCAAATGAAATAAGCCACAGGAAAGACCCTCAGTGGGAGCCTGGCCCCATGCTCAGTAGAGTGGTTTCATCTAATAATGGGTTCTGCGAGCCTCCTTTGCCCATGGAGAGCTCAATAAACCCGCCATCAACATTAAGTTGGTTCTCATAGTGACCGCCTGTGTTACAGGATAGGATTGCTCCTTAGGGCTTCTTGGCTGTAACCTTAATAGAATCTGAACGGAAGCAGATTGTACCACCTCTGGACCGGGACATCGTAATGTTGCTGGACTCCATCAATTCCAGTCCATGGGATGTCCACATGTGCAGAGTGGAGCTGCTCCGTGGGACTTTCAGGGATTTAACCTTTCAGAATGAGATCAATTCCAATCCATGAGATGCCCACATGTGCAGAGTGGAGCTGCTCCATGGGACTTTCAGGGATTTAACCTTTCAGAATGAGATCAGTAAGCCTGTCTTCCAAGGCACCTCTGTGTCAGCTTAAACAGCCAACCTTCTGGCTAGTAACCAAGCACTTAATCATTGGTGCCACCCAAGGGCTCTAGCGGATGTAATAGTAGATATCAGTTATTAAGCTCCTGCATGTGCCAGGACTATACAAAAGTAGGTAGATGATAGATAGATAGATAGATAGATAGATAGATAGATAGATAGATAGATAGATAGATAGATAATCCTACACAATCCCCAGAATAGTCATTTCATATATAAGAAAATGGAGACATAGGGACTTTAAATACTTTATCCAGGGACTTTAAAAGACTTTGTGTTAGTCAATAACAAAAATCTGTCTGACTCCCACTCTTGATGTTTCACCACTGTAAGAACTTTCTGCTGCGCCTATATTTTGGTTGTAGACAAAAATGCCCAGAGAGAATAAAGTGACCTTCTCCCCTCCTTGCTTCCAGCCTATGAACTTCAAGAGTGCCCAGACCCAGAGCCCTTTGCCAATGGCATTGTGAGGGGAGCTGGCTACAACGTTGGACAATCAGTGACCTTCGAGTGTCTCCCAGGATATCAACTGATTGGCCATCCTGTCCTCACATGTCAACACGGCACTAACCGGAACTGGGACCACCCCCTGCCCAAGTGTGAAGGTACGTCCCTCCCTCGTCCCTGGTGATTCTTCCTGGAGGTCAGGGAGACTGATCCCAAGCAGTCCAGCAGTCCACTTTTCAGCTCCATGGGCTTGGCCATGCTGGAAGCTCTGGGTCGAGCTTATCCATCCCATTCTTTTATGAACAGGACTCAGGCAGTCAGGGGAGACTGTCCTGGGGAATGCCCTGGAGCAGAGTTAGGAAGGATTGAGGCGAGAGTTGACCCCATCCCTAAAGAGCCACAGCCCAGAGGAAGACACACCCAGCGCTTGGGAAGATCTGATGCACTAGATGTTCCCAGTGGGAAGGGAAGCTTTGGGGTGAAAGTGTTCGTCATGGCACCTTTCCAAAGGCAGGAGAGAATGAAGGCTCTTTCTCAAAAGCATTTTGCTTCCCTCTTCACTCTTCCCCGTCCGGTCTCCGCCCGACACATGCCTGAGAGAGATGAGTTGCTCGCCTCAGACAACTAGAGGTGGCACATCCCTAGGTCTTTGAGCTTCACCAGAACCAGGATGGAAAAGCGAACCTCCAGGATGCCCACCTCAGTCCCCTTGCTTTGTGTTTTTCTTTCCTTTGGGGACCCAGGATTGTCCATGAGAGGAAGCTGGTATGTGACGGGAAAGAGGAAGGAAATGCCCAGGTCCTGGGATCTGATTGCCCTGGGCTCCATCTCTAAGCCACCACCCCCTGGCTTTGTGACCCTGGCAGAGAGACTCACCTCTCTGAGCTTCAGTGTCTTCAGCAGTAAAATGGACTCCTTGTCTCTACTGTCCATGCTGGAAGGATCTAATAGATGGTTTGTATAAAACACCCAGCGCAGTCACTCGCACCCAGCTGGTGAACTCTTTAAGCATCAGAGATCCTGGAAAAATAAACCTTGTTTACAAAGCTGAGCTGTCCAGGGGTTGGCTTATAAAACATTAATTTTGGGAAATCTTAAAACCTCATTGGGCTTTCAGATTCCCAGGACCGTCCCCAGGCAGAGCGAATTGATTTCTCTGAAGCTGTTGGTTGGCCAAGCTGTGTGGCACGTTGTTTGCTGGTCTCTTCCAAAAGGTTCAAATCTCCCACGGCTGCACTTCGGAGTGGCCTCGGGCTCCCCTCGGGCCACCACAAGGCATGGCCATGTCACTTGAGAAAGTGATGTTGACTCCTCCCTCCAACAGGCCATGTCCGAAAGGGTGACCATGACAAGGACCTGCCACTAGGCACCCACAAGTAGACGGCCATGTCAAAAGCAACTCTTGGAAAAGAGCATTCGAGGGTGCTCCTTTTGCCCTGGTCCCCAAACCAGGAATCCATGGGAGTGGGAGGTAATCCCTAACCCGTTCCCTGTAAACACCCCTGGGGCAGCCACAAGAGCGGACAGCATCCTGCCGACCCCTTCACTGTATCCAGGAAAACATGGGCCCAGGATCCTCTCCCAGGCAGCCCAGACCTGGGGCTGCTTTCCCATTCTCTCCTTCCGCCAGGCAGCCTGAAGGATGGCTGTGTCCAGTGTGCACCCATGGCGTAAAGGAGAGAAGTGGCCAGTCACAGGCTGCTCCTCCTCCTCCTCGAGGAACAGCAAGAGAGGATGACAGGCCCAGGGGACATGGGATCTGAGCCCGCCATGACTGGAGGCTCAGGTCCTGCCAGGGAGGACGGTGGCACATCTTCAAGACTCCCAAGCCAGACCCAGTGGCAGAGAACTGCAGCTCCAGGTCTTGGGACTTGTGTGGAGCTGATTTGTATCCATGTTGATACCTGACACCACCAAATATTAAACCTGGACAAAGCACTTGCTCTGTGCCCAGCACGGTGATGCCATTGCAGGGACATCAGTGACCTGCAACCAGAGGGCGGGCCTTCTGGGGGAGCTCACTGCCTCACCTCAGTGGATGTCACATCATTCCCACCAGCCACTTCCTCCTCTATAATCTCAACTTGCTCCTGTGACCCTGGCTGGCTGTCCTGAATACCATTGTCTGGATCTAGTGAGAACAGATCTTTGTATGCGGAGACATGAGAGCTTTGAAGTCAGCACAGGCGGCCAAAGCTCCCTAGGGTCCCAGGGGTGGGAGAGGCAGGAGGTGACATCAGGGAGAGCTCCTGCCGAGGCTGGACGAACAGACAAAGTTGGAAAGTAGAAGGACAGGGCTTCAGCCCCCAGCCTTTCAGAAGGGCTCCTCTTCTGAACTCTCAATCTAACTCCTCTCGCTTCCTGTCCTGTCAGCTTCCTCTTCCTCTCTCCAGTCCTAAGGGAAAGGACGTCCTTCCTCTTCCTGTCTGACCTTCTGTTCTGGAGCCTCCCCAGTAGGGGCACTCAAGTAATTGAGTAACCAGCTCGCTGCCCTAATGACCATTTTACATATAAAAAACAATATCCCAAAAGGGCGTTTATCATTTCATATAGTTAATACTGAAATAAAAAAAACTAAAAGACGTACACAAAACTAGATTATGCTATAAGAAAGAGTTTTAAAATATCAATGAAAAAATATCAAAGAATACCTGACAACAAAACACAACTGTTATTTGAGATATTTTCATACTGCTTCTTGATCAGCATCCTCACCTGCAATATTCTCCACTTTGATCCAAGCGTCATCGGCTGTGTGATTGATCCTTAACCATCTTCCCACTGTGGGAGTAGGATCCTAAATGCAAGGGGATAAAAACGTTCTGTTGAACCAGTTCGAATCCACTGAATCGCATCACTGATCCTACCCACTCATGTCCTCTTCCCGAGCTGTGCAGGACACTAATCTCCTTCTTCTTGCCTGTCTTTCAAATTCTCCTTGCTTTATAATCTTCCCCAACCTCCTGTTTGGCTTTTGAATTTCGCCAGTCGGAATTTAAAGCACACTGAAGCCTCTCTTGCAAAGTCTCCACCTGGACCCCACTTTTCTCTCAACAACTATCTCTTCCCTCATAAGCTATGCTGCACGAAAGGATATCTTGCACATGAACCTTCTTTTTACCTTTTTCTCATTTTAATTCTTCTGGAGATTATGTCAGGTTGTTATTAGATACCATCAAGTTGGTTCCAACTCACAGCGGCCCCATAATACAAGAGAACAAAACACTGCGTGGTCCTGAGACAACCTTTCAATGGTTGCTGTGTTTGCTTCTGTTGTTGCCACCACTGTGCCAGTCCACCTCACTGAGGCTCTTCCTCTTTTTGGTGAGTCTTCTGCCTTACCAGCATGACTGGGACGTGTCCCTCCTGATCGGACATGTTCAGATTACATGTGACCAAGCCGTCCATCTTCGCTTCTACCAAGCATGCTGGCTAGACTGCTTCACACACAGATTGGCGTTGTCTTGTGGCAGTCCGCGGCATCTCCAATCGTTCGTTGCCAGCGCCATCATTAGAAGCAGCGATTGTTCCTCATTCTTGCAGATTCATTGTCCAGCTTTCACAGATACCATGGCTTAGGTCAGGGGCACCGTAGTCCGCAAGGTGACGTCTTGCTTTTTAACACTTTAAAGAGGTCTTTTGCAGCAGGTTGGCTCAGTAGAAGATGTCTTGGTTGCTGATTCCATTGATGTTGACTAGAGAGACCAAAAAGAAGAGATACTTCACAATGTTTCCTCCATTTTTCATGATGTTGCTCATTTCCAGGATTCTCATTGTGATGGTAAGGATTGTTGTGTTCTGTATGGAGAGGCGGAACCCATACTGACAGCTGTCCTCTGTGATCTTCATCAGCAAGGGCTCTCAGACCTCATCACTTTCAGCAAGCAGGTGATGGCACCTGCTTGTCACAGTTGTTCACAAGCCTTCCTCCTCCCAGATGCCACATTCTTCTTCAGGGTGTGCAGTTTCTCATTGCATTTGCTCACCACACAGATTGAACAAATATGATGAAAGGAGGCGACCCTGACGCACACCTTTCCTGACTTTAAACCACACAGCATTCCCTTGTTCTGTTAGAAAAACTGTCTCATGGACTAAGTATATAGGTCTGCATGGGAAGACATTAAATCATTTTATACCCAGAAGAACAGCAATCACAATCACGCATAGCTGAATCATAATCTTATCAATCTCTTCGCCATCTTCTTACCCAGATCCATGACGAAAATGGAGGCCGTTTGGTGGGAGTAACAGGGGCCCTGGTTAGAAAAAGGGTGTAGATAATCCAGCACATTGCCAGAGGAAACATGCCAGTTCCTAATGTCTCAACCACATGTGACAGGTGTCACTTTACTCGTAGTTCAATGGCTGTCACAACCGTACCACCTCCCCTCTATCAGTTTGTCATACTGTGGTGGCTTGGCTGTTGCTGCGACGCTGGAAGCTGCTGCTGCTGTTTCAAGGACAAGCAATGTCAATGTGGTAGACAGGCTTCAGAGAGCTTTCAGACAGACTAGCAAGAAGGGCCTAGAGATCTACTTCCAGATATTGGCCAGTGAAAACCACTCCGATCACAGTAGAACATTGTCTGTTATCATTCTGGAAGGTGGCACAGAGCCAAACAACATCTCCTTCTATTTCATATCAGGTCACCCTGACTCAGAGCCAATCCTCTGACCACTAACAGCCACCTAACAACTCTAAGTCAAGATCTAAACACTGCTCTTGTTAAAAAGCATCTTCCAGGTCTGATTGGAAAACACTCTTAAGGGCCATCAGACCGACCTGGAACCATCTATCGGGTTTTTGTTTGTTTGCTTTGTTTTCTTCTGCCCTATACCTATCTGTTTAAGATAGGCAGAACAAACAACCCCCAGGAGAAAACAATAGGACCGGTGGTCCTGGCAGGACATGGGAGAGGAAGGGGCTGGGAAGGGGAGCAGGAGCCAACAAACTCAGGGATAAGGGAACAACAAGAGATCTAAAATTGATGGCGAGGAGGGCATATCATGCCTGGTGGGGTTTGATCAAGTGCAATGTATCCGAGAGGAATCACTGAGAGCCGAATAGAGGGTTAGCATGATCATGGGACAGGAGGAAGGTGAAAGGAAATAGAGGAAAGAAGTAGGAAGCAAAAGCTCTTTATAAAGGTATAGCTATAGGTGTGTAGATATGTAAATATATTAATTTATAATGAAAGGAATAGAGGCCAATTCATATAACTTATATGTTAAGTATTAAGATAGCAGACAGACTTTGAGCCTCTCCTCAAGGCCTCCCTAAGCAGAACACTTTGCTCTAGTAACCTGGCACTCTTTGATACTCACCTTCCCGACATGATCACCACAGACAAAATGTGGGGAAGAAAGCTGATGGTGCCCAGCTATCAAAAGATATAGCACCTGAGGTCTAAAAGGCTTGAAGTTAAACAAGCAGCCATCTAGCAGGGAAGCAAATAAGTCCACAGGGAAGAAGCACACCAGCCTATGTGATCATGAAGTGTCGATGGTATCAGAATCAAAAGATCCAAAACAAACAATTATATTTATGTGAAAGATGGGGACTTAGAGTGGAGACCCAAAGCCCTTCTGTAAACAAGTGGACATTCCCCCCACCCCTGAAGGGTTACAAGGAAGGAATTCAACCAGGGTACAGTATAGCACAGATGAAACACATCATTCCTCTAGTTTCTGAATGCTTCCTCCCCCCACTACCATGACCCAGTTCTACCTTACAAATCTAATAGAATGGAGAACACACATTGATACAGATAAGAGCTCTCAATACATGGAATTTAGCACAGATAAACCCCTCAGGAACAGTAGTGGGAGCGGCGATATCATGAGGGTAGAGGAATGGTCAGGGAGGGGGAAGGGGAAGAAAGGGGGAACTAACCACAAGGTTGAATATATAGTCTCCCCACCACCAACAACAAAGGGGAAGAATAACAGAAATGTGGGTGATGGGAGACAATGCCTTGTGCTGGGCTAGGGGACTTCATTGAGAA